TGAGCACACTGACTTCCAAATCAGCAGGATGGGCTGAATGCCCTCCTCCCTCTTTCTTGTGTTTGGTTTCTGTTAGCTACTTAGGTTTCCTTCTAATTCACTCTTCCACTTCATATGTGTGCCTTACACCTCTGTGCCACCAGATAACAAGGCACAGTCTGTCTGCCACACCTCTAATTTCCTTCCTTGGATTTCTCACAACCCACCTGCTCAGACTGCAGTGTAACAATGGTATTACTCATCTATGCATTTGCTTTGTCCTGCATTGCTGTTTGCTTATGTTGCATTCTATACTTTTTGAACATACCACACTTTCTCTATGCCAAACTTTGTTTTTCAATACAATAGTTACAATACAGTAAAATATATGAACTGAATAAATTGCAACTAGTGGTAACACAAGTTGTGTGAAGAGTACAGCCTTGATTTAGCGAAAAAGAGCAAAGGAATGGAAAGATTATAACGTATAAAGCTGGACATTAAATTCAGCTCCATAATCCATCTATTTGCTTAATGTAGTTTGATTTAATGTGCTAGATTTTACCCTTTACCAATAGTTAATTAAGAGCAATTAAGAATACTTCAAATGTACTTAATTGACTTAATATCGTTTGATTGTAATTGTAACGACCACAGTATTATATAATGGCAAACAGACGCTTTAAAAAAAAAGTCAATTTCTACCAAAATAAGTTTTTCGTTCATTAAAAAAATACACATTTAGCCACAGACATCTCTAAAGGCGCTTGCTTCCATGTAATTAAAAACTATATTTCGGCCCAGGTCGAGGTCTGCCACCCCAGTGTGGGGATGTGGGTCTCTCTCCTCTCGGGCAGTTTGCTGTTTTAAAGGCGAGCCCTGACTTCTCCTCTCTCGACAGCTCAAATCTGCTCCATTACGTATTTACTGACAGACTGATGAGAGTTTTCACGGGGACACTCCATTTGCACTGCGGTGCACTATTTGGGTAGATAAAAACCTCTGCCGCAACCAGGCAGTCTGAGTTTTTTTTTTCCCTTCAAATTTTTTCCTCTAAGATCTTCAAAGTCTCCAAAAGGGGAGTCTGTCCGTTTCTCCTTCACCGCTTACAGTACAGTCGCCCTGGCGAGCAGAAAATAACGGACCATACTGAGCTCAGCCTTCGCTCCTGCATCGCTCCTCCGGACAAGGGACACGAGCGTCCCCGAGTCCAGTTGCGGGACTTTTCTTAAAACAGAAAAAAGAAAGAAATATGGCTCTGGACTGCTGTCGAACTGTAATCCTCTTACAATTCCTGGGGTTCTTTCTCTCGTTTAAGGACGTTTCAGTCCAAGCGGATGGTAAGTTATTTTATGATGTGCTGCTTGCTAAGAGTTTGTATACGCTGCTGTTGTTTTTCTCCTTTAAACCTGGAACTTTGAAAAAACAAAAACAAAAAAAGCCAGCAGGGATAAGAGATAACGGGACTTATTTCATCGACTGTCCCTCCCGTGTCATTGAAATGTGTTGCACCCTACTGTAACAATTAAAGAAGCGCCTTTCACCTGTAACTGTGCGACATCAGGCGTGCGTCTGGGACTTGTGCTATTGAAGGCTTTTCTATGACAGCTCTTTCAAAATGTATACTTGTAGAGGGGCTTTTTTATTTATCACTGCTTAATATTTCCTTACCATGTAGACTGCTTGGTAAAAATGCAAAATGCAAAAAACAAAATGTATGCATTTCAAATCTTTCCGATCTTGCTGGTAGAGCAAGAAGTTTGTTTCTTGCTCCTTTGTACTGTACGTACTGTGTTTGTTGTAATCATTTAAGACATCGTTGTCAACATAGGTATGGGGGATATTAACAGTACAAATACTAAAGGTCTCCGTTTCTAGTTTAACGTTATCTGGAGACTCATTCGAATTATTGAATCCCCGCCATTAATAACGTACAGTATGTAAAACCCAAGCCCGTGTGACTGAATTTGAATAATTCAGTGCCATTTGCATGGCTGAATAAAAAACAACATTATTATTGGAATTGCTGCAAAAATATGCCGAACCGCAAACTTGGCTTGCTTTGTTCATTTTCGAAACATTTCCCCCGGTCTCATATCGCCGAAATTAACGGTCGCTCACAATTTCAAAAAATGTGCCTGTGCACTCCAAGACCTGCATGAATACATCCTTTTTCTTCACACATACTGACATCATTGTAGGTGGAAGAAGCAGGACTTCAGAACTGACGAGACCGTGTGTTATTGCATTCGCTTAGGTAACTTGGGGTGAAAACCATCATGTACTATATGTGGACTGCTAGCTCCAAAAAACAGCCATGCAGTGACTGCAAGAGTTAGTTAATAGTTCACAACTTTACGCTTAAGCCTCTGAGACGGACTGTTTCCTTTCCTGTGGACTGAAGTTTGTCAATTAACACAAGAGCACAGAGAAGTCAGATATACTGTACTGTACTTCACGAGAACTGTATTCCATCTCCCAAAGATGTTCCCTCGCAGAGCAGCTGGCTGTGTTTCTCAATACAGTTTTCCACTGCTGTATTTATTATAGCCACAATCATTTCTGCAAGGAGTTCTTCGGGAGTTTTTGTTTCACCTACTTTTGTGTCTGAAACAGAAAAGCGTTTATAAAAAAAAACGTTCATTAAC